GGGGAGAATGTGGCACATTATCCCTCAAATATCCCCCTAGACAAGGAAGTTTGGGGGTTTTAAATTCTTCCAAACAAGGAAAATGTGATCTTATCATTGCAGAAAATCATGCTGGGCTTTCAAACCCAAGGTTGCCGCTCACATTTGCCCTCAAACAAACTACTCATCTAGTGGCTCCCAGCATGAGCTCTATTGATGTCATGAAAAATGGGGGGCAGCATCTTCTCTCTGAACTTGTTAATATACACCAGGTCAGAACTCTGCCAAGTTCAGAAGACACTTTGTGCTTTCTGTTGGATCTATCACAATGCCCAACATTTGTGAGTATGTATCACATTGCAGTCTCCAAGCTAAGTGAGGAGGCATCAAAGATGGCATGACCCATTACTTGCCTCAAAGAGCTTAGAGCTACTATGAAAGACAAAGAAACGTATATAACTATAATACAGGGAAGGGAGTTATAGGTGCTGTAGGTGGGGAAAGTGCTATGGGAATTCAGAGAAGGGAGTGATAGCTTCCAGAAGGGAAGCTTCATAGAGGAAAGTTGTCTTTTGAACTGTTCCTTAAAGCATACAAGGCGGTAAGATTTGGATCAAGAAAATAAGAGCAATTTAAGGAGCAAAATGTCATGTATTCAGGGAAGTACAAACCTTGTACAAAATTGGAAGTACTTTAGTTTTGTTGGAGCTTTGGAGCATGGAGAGGATGAAGGGGAAGTTCAAAGGGTAGATTGGGCCCAGTCCACAGTAGGCTGTGAATGCTAAAGATGTTTGGGCTTTATTTCATAGGCATCAGGAGCCACTGGAGATTTAGGGGCAAGAAAGTGATACATCTGGATGTGCTTTGGAAAAATGAAATAGAATAGGGGGAAAATCCATGAGTAGAGAGACCAGTCAGGACATCCCTGTAGTGGCTCCAGTGGGAGGTGGATGGGCGGATCCAAGGAAATAGCAATCGTGGGACAGATGTGAAAAATAGGGAGCAGGCAAAATCAGCAGAACGTGGTGCCCAGTTGTGTGTGGTTGACTAATGACAAAAAAAAAGTCAAAGTAGATTGGAGAGTATTGAACTTGAGAGATACAGGGTAACAGTCAGTGATGGGGAGGACAGCAGAGGGAAAAGGCTCAAAAGGAGTAGAAAGGACTTGTAGAAGTTGAGAGAACAATTGGACACCCAAGAGGCAATATCCAGAAGATAGTTAGCTCCCAGTTTCATGTGCTTAGAGATGACAGTAGGGGCCACGAGGATGGATGAGGATGTTACGGTTAGAATGTGGTTAAGCTTTGCATGGCCAGACTTTCTTAAAAATTGTATTTGCCAAGGTCTCCTCAGTATCTCTTTCATTCATTCATTTGACAGATAATTATTGCATGGTCTTTTTGTGGTAATGCCGAACTAGAGAGACAGGAAATAATTGAAAACCCTCATATATAGTGTTTGCCCTAAATAATAATCATTGTTACAATTATAAGAGCAGTGACCATTTACTCGTCACCATTACTTTATACATAGCACCAGGTTGAAATGAGACATGTATTATTTCATTTCATTTTTATAACAATATGATGAGTTAGGTATTATTATTATACCCATTTTGTGGAAAACTGAAGCTCAGAAAAGTTATCTACTACCCAAGATCACACATGGCACATTATCAAGGAGCCTAGATTTAGATACTGATTATCAGACTCCAGAGCCTCTGCCATTAACTACTAGGCTGTTTGGTGACATAAAATGTGCATTTTGAAAAATTTCAAATAGCTGGCCGGGTGTGGTGGCTCACACCTGTAATCCTAGCACTCTGGGAGGCCCAGGCGGGCGGATTGCTCGAGGTCAGGAGTTCGAAACCAGCCTGAGTGAGACCCCATCTCTACTAAAAATAGAAATTAATTGACCAATTAAAAAGATATATATACAAAAAATTAGCCGGGCATGGGGGCGCATGCCTATAGTCTCAGTTACTTGGGAGGCTGAGGCAGAAGGATTGCATGAGCCCAGGTGATTGAGGTTGCTGTGAGCTAGGCTGATGCCATGGCACTCACTCTAGCCTGGGCAACACAGTGAGACTCTGTCTCAAAAAAATTAAAAATAAAAATAAAAAATAAAAAATGTTAAATAAGAACCCACTAGCACCTTGCATGAGTCTTGGCACACAGTGGGTACTTAATAAATGTTTATGCAAGGTAGGCAGGCGGACAGGAAGGGGAAGGGTGTGTGATGATATAAGTGCTAGCAATTCAGGGGAAGGAGAAATCTCAGTAGATTGCAGTGGGCAGGATTTCCACTGCTGGAGAATGGGGAGAAGGACCTTCCAGAAGAGAGGTATATAGAGGCTGAGAGGGAGATAGGGTAGGTGAATCTAGAGTGTGCCTGGGAGGAGTGAGGAGGCCAGTTTGGCCAGAAAAGACAATTGTGCACAGATGTATAGCAGGAGATACATTTAAGAAACTCTGCTGGGTTCAGGTCATTAAAGAGCTAAGCATTTTGGACTTTATTCTATAGATAATTAGAAGTCGCTAAAGGTCTTTGAGCCTGGGAATGGCATAATGAAAGTGGGCTTTGACACAAAGCCCAATGATCTGACATTGGTTGGCAGGAAAGATTGGAAGAAACAAAGATGAGAGGCGAGCAGTCTGGTTGTGAAAGATGCAACGACCCAGCCATAAGCAGGGTAGGATCGAGAATGGACACTGTGTGGAGGTGGGTGAGATGTTCTCCTAGAGGAGCTGGGCAGGCAGTAGAGTGCCTGTGGACACTGGAAGAGTGGCACTGCAGAGCCCCTGTCACCGTCCTAGGACTGTAGAAATAACACCTGAAGTAGCTGATTTTCTGCGTTCAACTTCATGTCACTCACTGCCCCCTAGCATAGAGAAGGATTCTGAGAGTAGAAACCAGAATAAGGAAGCTTTGATTAGGAGAGATGCGAGAGAAATGGCCAGAGTTTGGGCACCCAAGGGCAGTAGAGGGCACAGTCTACAACGGGACGGCTGCCAAGAGGAGGTCAGATGCGGGCTGCACAGAGGGTGGTGCCAAGGCAGGGCAGGACTTTGCCAAGGGCACAGGTGCTTTAGCCCAGCCAGCTGGCGTAGTAGAAAGAGCCCTGAACCAGGAGTCCAAAGCCTGATTGGAACCCTCCCCTGCCACCTACACAAGCAAGGTGACCTTGGTAAGTCATCTAATCTTTCTAAGATAACTAATGTGGAAATATCCAGCCCAGTGCCTGGCATGTGGCTGATATTTAACAGATATGTGGAGACCATGAAGGTTCAGTTTGCTCACCTGTGAAACAGGGATAACATCGTCTGCCTGTGTGGACCACAGGGAGGACCAGCTGGGGTGCAGGCTGTGAGGACTCTCCACAGAGGCAGTAGACCAATCCACAGGGGACTGTCATGACTTTCACAGGTCAGTCGTGCTCTCCAGAGACCCCTTTCCAGGAGCAGAGGAGTGTCTTTAAGAATCTCTACACCTATGTACACCAAAAGGCTGCACCAGCCCATGTGTGCTCTCCCCCCTGAAGAGAAGATAGTAGAAATGAGATGACACCATAGGCCCTTTGGGTTCTGGATCATAAACGCTTCCAGGTCAAGAACAGGTCTTCGTCTCTCTATCCCCAGTGCCCAGCATTGTACCTGCGTGGATTGAACTAATCCCCAGTGCCCATGGGCACAGTCCCAGGACATTCATAGCTCAGAGCTGATCCAAAGCCAGGTTGCAGTGAAGGGCTGGGTGGCCTAGGAACTAACCTCTTGTTGAGATGAAGGGAGCCAGTGATGGTGAGCAGGTGGGGATGACCTATACACAACTTCTTTGTTACCCTGACAATGTCTCCTTGGCCTGACATTCAAGGCCTTTCCCAGTCTGACTCCTGCCTGACTTTCCATTCTTTCCTGCAAACTGCACCTCCTTGTTCCCCATGCACACCTTGTACCCCCCCACACACAGATCTTAACTTCTTTTGCATCAGATGCCTTTCTCCCACCCACACCCACAGTCTCCCATGTCCAAGGTGTGGTGTGTGTGTCCCTTCATCCATGAGGGGTTACCCTACAGGGGGTAGCTCTCCCACCTCTTAATCTCTGCCACCCTTTGTGCCATCCTGCTGCATGCGATCTTCCCTCCCAAAGTGGTAATCATCAACGTACACATTCCTTCTCTCTTTTGGCTCATTAGTTCTTTAAGGGCTGGGTCTATACTTGTTTTTATAGATGAGCAAACTGAAGCTTCTTCCCCAGAGATCTGTTCCAGTGCCTTATGCAAAGTAGATGCTTCATAAATATATGTTAAATAAATGAATATCCTTTGCAATCATATAATTATTCCCATCAACACCATCAGCCTCATCAGCATCTGTTCATTCACAGTAGATAAGAGTGGAACTATCACTTTATCGGGTATGTAGTGGGCCCTCAGTGATTCTTTGCCAAATGCAAAAGATAATCCCAATACAGCTTGAGAATCTTCCCTATTTTACGTGTAATAGGGATCCTAGGAGACATCACGGAGGAGCTCTGTTCTTTGCAAATTGGTTGTATCATAACCCAGGAGCAAGCCAGAGAGCATTTGCATTGCTTTCTAAACTCCAGAGCTGTAGCAGCAGCACGAACACTTGTTTTTCATTTTCTTCTTTCATTATGTCCTTCTCTCCTCTTCCCGCCTCCCCGAGTCTCAGACCGAGAGTGTCTGTTTAGTTTCTTTGAGGGAGCGTGACTAGTTGTGGTTTGCCTCCAGCTGTTTCTGCAGCCCCCAGCTGAACCTCAGAATGCAGGGCAGGTGTCTTTCTGTCATCTCCCCTCGGCGGGGTTCCTCCCAGCCTGCCAGAACAAACCAGCCACCTGCAGGTGAATGAGTGCTTTGGCCTCGTCCCAGACAAGCTGTTTCATCCCGTCTAAGTCAGTGGGCATCCAGTTGTCAAGCCTGATGTGTTAGGGCTGCTAATACGAGTGCTTTGTCACAGGAGGCACTGTCCCTGATCCATGGCGCCCTGCTGTGTTTTCCAGGCCGTGGTGGTGACTGACGGGGAGCGCATACTGGGCTTGGGCGACCTGGGCTGCTACGGCATGGGCATCCCCGTGGGCAAGCTGGCCCTGTACACAGCGTGCGGAGGGGTGAACCCGCAGCAGTGCCTCCCCGTCCTGCTGGACGTCGGCACCAACAACGAGGTAATACACTGCCCAGGCCAGGAGCTCTGAGGCTGGGAGGTGGCAGCTGGGGCAGGGTGGGGAGCTCATCTTTGGGGTGTTTATGTCTACACAGCAATGGGCATTTCTTTCCTGGCATCCCCTTGGCCAGGGCACGCCCCCTACACAGTGTGAAGTGGAGGACCTTCCTCCTTCCTGGTTGCCCATGCCCATTCTCTTCCCCGTCCCACTTCTCGGCCCCCTTGCTCCTCTGCCTCCAGGAGCCCTCCGTGCCCACATGACCCCTCTGGGGCTCCCTTTGCTCCCTAACCCCCATGATCCCACGCGGTTTCCATTCCCCTCAATGACACTCTCTGACCCACTGGTGAAGAGGGCAGCCTGTGGAGGTGGGAATGACCACCGGGCATTTTCAAGGCAAGCTGCCTCAGTGGAAGGATTCAAATTCAGAGCACCAGTGCCGGGGTGGAAATGTCTGAATCAGGCAGAGGAGTGTCCTGCAAACCCAGGGAGAGAAACTGAACTAAGCTGTGGGGGAGATCCACCTGCAGGATTCCAAGTGGCTTGGGAGTTAAGGGTCTCAAACCCCAGCCAAGAGTTTGTCTGCTCTGGGCACCACCATGGGGCACAGTGCTTGTGTCTGGCTGTGCTTCTTAGCACTGTGTCAGAAAACATGAAAAAAATACCCAAGAATTCCTTCTTAATGACACTTAACTTTAAGATCCATGCATGTTCATCTTATAAAAATTGAGGAAATCCAGGGAAGTGTTAAGAATAAAATAAAATATCAGTCACACAACCAGTGCTAATCATTGTTTGCATATTAGCATATGCCTTTTCCCCCAAAGCACTTATAAAACCAAAGTTGGGTTCATATTGTATACACAGGTTTTTATCCTGCTTTTTAAAAATTTAATATCTGTCATGAGTTTTCTCCCAGGTCATAATCATTCTTCTACAATGTCATTTTAATAGCTGCCTCGTGTATCATAATTTACCTAAGAAACCCCCCACAGTTGGACACTTAGGTTGTTTCTAGTCTTTTGAAAATATAAATTCTGTATGATACCCGTTTTTGCAGGATCAGTCTTTGTCCCCATCTCTCAGTATTTCCTTAGATAAATTCCTAGAAATGGAAGTATTAAGACAAAATGAATGGTCATTTTTTTTTAGATTCTTTGCATTGTCCAAAAGGTTATACTTATTTGCATTCTATAATGATCTCTCTCAAGAAAATTTGCCAAGACTGTTTGCATGGCTGTCCTCTTCCCTAGTCATCATACATCTCTATTTTGAAACAAGAATGAGCACTGTAGCTCCTAGTAAGGAATGATGCTTATCCACTCTTCATCCACAGATATGATCAAATGAGAGAACACTGGGCAGACTTAGCTTAAAAGCCAGGAAATCCTGGAGGTAGGGGTGAGATGAGGGAGGGCAAGAGGAGTAGGAGAATTACTGGGTTGAGAAACAGGGGCCCTGGTTCCAGTACCACTAACAAGCCAGGTGAGTCACTGCATGGCTTTAGATTTGATCTCCTTTCCATACAATGAGGACCTAGAATCAAAAGGAACTGCAATTAGAGATTTCAACCTCTAAAAGTGCTTTCTCTCCATATGCCTCCTCACCAGCCCAGAAGACCAGAGGCTGGATGGGGGCTCATCAAGATCAGTCTGCAAGTTTTGCTCTGCCCAGTGGTCTCCTTTCTCCAGCCAGATGTCTGGGGGTTGCTAAAATTGTCCTTCAGCCTCAAAGAGTACATCGTTGCAGGCGTAGAAGAGCATAGCAAACGTTGTTTTAGTTATTCTTCCCATCCAACATCTCCTGCTGTGTTCCAGCTGGACTCCCTCTCCTAAAACGTGGTTCTAGGCAAGAATTGAAATAGCTTGAGATTGATTCTGAGGCCACTGTATCCCCTGAAAGGGGGTTGGTTGCCTAGCAGGTGCATTAGCATCCTTTGTCATTGAAGGCCCTGCTCCCAGCAGTGATTTTGCTGAAGTTTAGGACTGGCCCACCTTGTAACAAACCCGCCAGAAAAGATGACTGGAAACTAACACTGATCATGGGCCAGGCTCTTTTCATGGACCACCTGGTTTAAGCCATACAGGAACCCTGTGAGTGGAGCATTTGTTATTACCTCCCTTTTTCACAGTTTAGCAAACTGAGACTCAGAGAGTTTAATTGGCCCAAGAAGATCTACTAGAAGTGGCAGGGCTGGAATCCTAATCCAAATTTGTGCTGCTCTCCCTACCCTACACCCCTGCCTGGGATTCTGTTGCTTTATACGTAAAGATCATTTCTTGATTTTTAGAATTTTTATTACTAAAATAAATTTAGAACATTATTTAAAATTTTACAAGAAAATGGAAATGACATTTCTCCCACAATGCTACATTTATGTTTCTTTCCAATATTTATCAATGCATATACATACAGTTATTACCTTATAATCATAGTATAATTTTGTTCTAATTTCTTCAATTAAAATTATTTTGTGAATACTTTCTCTCTACTTATTTGGTGATTTTGATTGCTTAGTAGGTGTCAGGCACTCCGCTAAACATAAAGGAGATAAATGAGAGCCAGGAATGGTAGAATATTCTATTAATAGTTGTCAGTGGTCCAACACTGTCACCTAATTGATCATCTTAATGGGTCACATGTCTACTCTAAGTGTCTGCGTCTCCTCCTGGGGCTTTAGGCTGCTAGAATCACTTCTCCCTTCTGAGTGTGGAAGGGAGAGAATTTCCGCTGGGCCCAATCCCTCTTGTCAGGGAGGGACCAGAGTATTCCCCAGCTGAGAGGAGGGAATGAGCCCTGACCTGCCCTCGCTACCCCGTGAGGGTGAGAGAAAGCAGTTCTCACCCAGGCCAGTTAGAACAATACCAGCTGCCGTTTATTGAGCACCTGTAATGTGCCAGGTATAGCTCTAGGCCTCGTGTATTTTATCTCTTTTTCAGCTGTGTGAGATATTGGTCTCCCCATTTTACAGACGAGAAAACTGAGACTGAAACATGTCAGCTACTTACATCAGGTCCCACAGCTGTAGGTGTCAGAGCTGCCTTGCCCACAATGGCACACTGCTCCAAGGGGGCAGGTGTTAGCATTATAGACTGGGGGATGAGGACTAAGAGTGGTTGTTTCACACAGGTGGAATCCAGTGGAGAGTCAGGATTGAGTTAGAGCATAACGATGTCTTCCCCTCCAGCGAAAGGTGAGCCCCCTCCAGACCCACTTTGAGAAACTCAGGACACAAAAATTCAAAGTTATAAAGTGTCCAACATTAGGAAGACATTGATTTACTTCTTTGCAAACGGATTTACTATGTGATCTCTTGCACTACAGTTCTTTTTTGAAAACGAATCAGTGTGCAATATTTACCCCCAGAATTCTTGGACACATCTCTTGCCCAGAGCAAGCCAGAGTTATAGCAGAGGGAAACTCAGCCTTGCAACTTTCCTCTCACGTGTCAGTGCAGGGATAATACTGTTGTGAGGGTTTTTAGTGTCAGAATAACTAGACCATCTGTGTGTATGTCTCTACAAAAACTTCTGAGGCAACAGGAGCTTAATCACAGTCAGAGAAAACACCCTTCCAGATTTCCTGTTGAAGGAAAACATCTGCTGTCTATAGCCCTGAAACTCTGAGTCACTTTTACCTGCCAATACCAAGGAGATTTGGAAAAATAAATATGTGGGGTGGTGAACTCGTGAAGAAGGGACATACCATGATTAAGTTCCAAGGGGGCAGAGGAAGGGAGCCTCTTCCCAGCATGCAGAGCGCCTGCTCAGCCTTCCATCACAGCTGTGTGTGAGCTGGTTTGTGTACTTTGTGTCATCCATATGCAGCCAGACTATACAAGTGAGAAGGGACCTCAGCCTCCTCTCGTTCAACCCCTTGTCTTAGATGGGAAGGGAGGCCCAGAGCAGAAATGGCTTTCCCAAGGTTTAACTCCAAGCCCACTGCTCTCCCCACTCTATGTCAAGGATCTATGGGCACCCTGAGGGCTTAGCTTTCAAATGGCTTTCAAATAGCTTTCAAACCTCCTGAGCCTTGGAGGTTTTCTCTTGGCAGAAGTCTTGAGCCTCTACAAACTCACCTCTCAATGAAATGCCATGTGAGCCCCTGGAACTGACTCATGGGCAGAGGAAGGGGAGGCATGTCTGCTTGGGAGACAAACTTGGGAGAAGATGGTCAGTGAGCCTGGTAAACAATTGCTCAGGGGTGTTACTGGGTTGCTGAGGGGGCATGGGGTCAACCACTGGGCTGGGTGTTGCAGGGTTTCTTCTACCTTGCAGGATTATCATACTATGACTAAGAAATATTCAGCATTCACCATGTGGTGCCATTAGAGCACTCGTACTCTATACACATGTGGTCTCTGAGGATGCCCTCCTTGGGATCTTTGTGGCTTACTCCTGGGCTTAGCTGAACTTCCCAAGGAATAAGTGGTAGGCAGGGCTGCCACCCTGAGGGACAAGGGTGCTGTGCCCACAGTGTGAACCCAATCCCATGACCTCCCAGCCCCCAGATGCTCTGAGTTAACATCTTAGCATGCCTGTTGCTACACAAGATAAATATTTTTTTTTACTAGACTGTTTAACTGTCTTCCAGCTTAAATCCAGTGCTCACTGTTGGGGCCAGTGAGGAGGAGGAAACCGGTCTGTTTTCCATGACATTCTGTCTCCAATAAAACCTTAGGAAGGCAGAGTTGGGCAAACAGCCATAGAGAGCACATTCAACCCTCTAACTCCCACGGCAGAGGAGAAAGTTCTGGGTCACCCACTTTGGACAAAGACCTTTACCTAAAATTATAGTCATTGACTTATTTCATTCCAAAAGGAAGTTAGTAACTATCTAACAGAAGGAAAAGATTTAGTCATTCAATTAGTATTTAGGTGCCAGGCACTCTAGTGGGCACCAAGGCTCGGAAGTGAGTAAGGCTGGTCTCTGCCCAAGGAAGAGCGCTGGTCTAGAAACCATGTTGCTCACACCAGTGTGTCTTGTGATCTTGGGCCGCTCATTTATCCTTCCCAAGCCTCAAAAGCTCATTTACAGGAGGCTGAACCGAGTGACTTCTAAGACCTTCCTAGTTCTTAATTTGGAATTTCCTTAGCCCAGTCCCAGGACTCAGGCAATTCTTATCAGTAAAGACTTTGTAAGGACTTACCGTGTGCAGTGACTGTACTAATCTCTGTGGAGAAGCATATGAATATCTTAGAAGCACATTTCATCAAAGAGCTTGCGTTATGTGATAGAGACCATTATTATCCTTATTTAACAGAGAAGAAAGCTGAGAGAAGTTAAATGCCTTGCCCAAAGTCATAGAGCTAGTTAAGCGACATAGCCTGAATCCAAACCCAGGTCTCTCTGATTCCAGAGTCCAGAGCCCCGTTGGGCCACACTGAGGACACTCAGGGGGACCCTCCTGACCACGGCCACCAGGCCTGGCCGTGTCCTTTCCTCTACAACACACTGCCTCCCAACTTTGAGATCCCTTCTGCCTTTGTTGATAGGTTTACCAGATTTAGCAAATAAAAATACAGGACACTAGTCTATATTTTTTGTTATATAAATATAGTTTATATTTATTGCTTGAATTTCAGATAAATAAACTTTTCAGCATAAGTACGTTCCATGCAATACTTGGGTCACACTTACACTAAAAAAGTTTGACAAAGTATTGCCTATCTGAAATTCAAATTTCACCGGGTGTCCTGTATTTTATCTGGCAATGCTACCTGCTGAAAAATTCTGCCCTAAACACGAACGAAGAAGTCAGGATAGAGGAGGGCTGCAAGGAAGGGCTCCAGGACAGTGAATATGCCCACACCTTGCTGGCAGGCATTCTTGTATCCGAATCACTTGGTGGGACACAGGGCAGAATGTGGGCTTCTTGTTTGCACCTGCTCAGCCACTGCTGACCCCTTCCAGAGGACCAGGTAAAGAGCGAGGAGCTGCCCCTGGCTCCCCAGTCCCCACAAGGGACAGGACGTCCCTGTCAAGGGACAGGACGTCCCTGTCAAGTGACAGGACGAAGAGGGCGCTGTCATGAGACCCAGTCAAAGCAAGGCTCAATCTCAGTGTAGCCGTTTTCTAGCTCTGTGAGCTTGGGATAAAACCTTTGAACTCCAACTTTTGTAAAACAGAGATGAGAATAGTCAGATTATTAGGATCAAATGAGTGAATTACTTGAAAGCTCTCTACAAACATACGAAGAGATTTTTTAATGTCATCTTCATATGGAAACGTTTTCTACTTTTTTGTGGTTTTAAAGTATCTGAGGCATAGAACATTTTATTACAAAAATAAAATATGAAGACCTTTAAAAGGTTTTTATAGTCACCCTGTATCTCAACTGTACCTCACTATGGTTGCCCTTTTATCTTTACTGCAGATGCACTGAGTAATTTTTGGAAAATCTAAAAATTCTCCAGTGCCACTGGAGAATTTGACTCTAGGAAAAGCGTATGCAGCATTGAGAAATTCACTCTATGCTGCCTGAGGCACCAAGACTCAAATCTGTGACTTGGCAACATTACAAGTTATAACTCACCATGGACCCTTTTAATTTCTGTAAGAGCTGTAAAAGTGAAAATTTTCTGCAAAGGCCAAGAGTTACACCATTTTCAACCATTTTTGTATGTGCTCTTCCAAGTTGCGTGTGTGTGTGCTTCAGATAGTTGTAATTATGATATCTGTGCAATTTTGTATCTGGGATTTTTTTTCACTTTAAATAATCTCATACACATTTGTCCAGGTGACTGCATGGCCTTAAAAACCACCCATTTTAATGACTCCCTGGATGTCCATCAAGTTGTTACCATTGTTCACCATTGTTCATTGTTCACCATTCCCCCATGCTGGATATTTGCTGCCTCTAAGTGGCTTTTAGATGGTTACTTTGAAGGTGGCATGTGGCAGGGTAGGCACCATACATGTCCCACTTTCATTCTTTAGTTCCCCACCACACACATGTACAACTACTGGGGAAGAATCCTAAGCAGTTTCAAGGATGTTCAATACAAAGAATGAGAAGAGTGACAGAAGGAGATCAGGACCCACCTTCTTTCTCAGTGTAGACCTGTGGTACCTTAGACAGCCCACCTCAGATGCCTATGTGGACCATGTGGACCCAGGATTGGGGAGAAGGGTTGGGAAGGCAGGTTTTTCCTGTTCTGTTCTTTTCTTTTCCGTACTCCTTTCCCCAGCCACCTCCTACAGTGATATCAAAACAATGTGGCCCTAGAGCAGTGTCTTTAAAAAAAAATAGTCACTCTTGTTGATGTGCAGAAGAGCCACCTAACAGCACAGCTGAGTGGTTAAGACCATGGGCTCTGAGTTTGAATCCCAACTCTTGCACTTATAAGCCCAAGGTCTCGGACAGGTTGCTTAACCTCTTTGTGTCCTGTTGCCTCATTTTTAAAATGGGGAAAATAAGGAGAACTACCTTTCAGGTCCTGCAAGGATACAGATGTGCGAGAGAGTCGCTGGGGAAACATCTGTGAAGCCTAAAGAGGAGGGAGCAGGTGTCAGAGGCAGGGCCTTTAGACTGCAGTCCAGGTCAGACACCTGTAAAAGGAGGGAGGGAAGGAGCAAGGACTGAGCAGGAGAGCCCCGCTGCAGTGCAGCCCCTGAGAGTGTTTCAGTCAGGCCAATGGGAAGTCCCCAAGTAAAGATGGGCTGAGTGGAGTCTCAGCTGGGCAGGAATGGCCCCCTGCCCCCGCCATGCTCAGTCATTAAGCATCCTAAGGAGAGTGCAGCAGCCTCCAGCCGCCTTCCCTCAGCAGGTTCCCTTAAGAAAGTTCTGAGCTGCTCGCCTCCCTGGTGACTTCATGGAGTTAATTAAGGCACATTAGGCAGTACAGGCAGTACGTGGCACAGAGGAAGCACCATGAAAGCTAAAACTGCTGCTACCATTTTATAGCAAATGTTATAATTCACAAAGCTCTTTTACATATATTATTTCACTTGATCACCACAATCACCCCATGCAGCCCATATTTTATCCCCTTTTGAAAGATGAGAGGAAGGCTCCTAGAGGTCATATGATTTGCCCAAAGTCACACAGCTTGTCAGTGGTACAGGTGAGACTGGACTCTAAGCCCCTGGAGGGTATGCCCATGTGGTCTTTATCTTTGGGTCCTGCAGTAGCAGTTCAGGTGGAGATGAAGATAATACAAAATCTTGCTCCCAAGGAGCTCATATTTTTGGTGAGTTAGATATAACAATAGATAATTATGGGAGACCCTAATCTATGGAATTACTTCCCATTTTTTCAAATAAACCAGGTAGTTTTTCCTCCTGCCTCCAGCCCCAGTCTTTCTTTTCTTTGTGCTGACTTCTCAGCCTAGAGCCCAGCCCACCTGCTGAAATCTGCCTATCCTCTAATGCGTGACCATTTTCGCCATGACACAGTCCCAACCTGTACCCTCCAAGGGGAATTACTTCGTTCCTTCTCTGTGCTGCCCTGTGCCACACTTTGTCCCAAAGCAATGTCACTGCGCCCTGCAGTAAAGTGAGTTAGTTTACTTATCAGCCACCTGCACTAAACCATGAGCACCTTGAAGGCAGCAACCGTTTCTTACTCATATACAAACCCCCCACCCCCCCACTGGGCCCAATGTCAGCAGTAACACATGATCAATGCGTGTGTCATGTATGAATGGCTCAACTGACTGTATAGGACTTGGCCAGTGGGAGTGGTTGTTCAGACCAACGCAGTCACTAAAGATGACCAAACAGCACATGACTGATGTGATGGAAAGAGCTGCAGGAGGCAGGGTGGACGGGGCCTAACACCAGCTGGGTGTTAAGGTGTGCGTCTTTCTGGAACTGAAATGTCTGCTTGTATCATTCTATCCTTGTATCCTCCAGGGCCTAGCACAGTGTGAGGCACATGGTAGGTATTCAGTAAGATTTCATGGGAGGGAGGGAGAGGGAACGGGACGGAGAAGAGGGAAGAGAGACTGAGGAGACGAGGAAGGACAGGGAAGGAGGAAGGAAGGAAGGAAGAGAAGAGAGGAGGAAGAAGGAAGACAGGAAGGAAGGAAGGAAGGAAGGAAGAGTTTTGTAATTTGAGTCCATATCAGAGATTTGGGATGAGACCCAGGACCTCAATCCCGATGCCGCCTAAAGTTAGCTACAGTGGTTCTCAATCAGGGCCAAGTTGCCCCCAAGAATACCTTTGGCAATATCTGAGGACATTTTTGATGGTCACAGCTGGATGCTATTGGCTCCTAGTGGTTAGAGGCCAGAGAGTCTGACAATATCCTACCGTGTACAGGTCAGCCCTCACGGTAAAGAACTATCCAAGCCAAAATGCCAACAGTGCCACTATTGAGAAACCCTGAAATAATCCCAGAGCCTGCAGCCAGGGGTGGGAAGACTGTCTGAGAGAGCCTTGCCTGGTTCAAAGCATCCTTGGTTCCTAACATGGGGACAACTTGGAGTCCACCCTCAGTCAGTGGCTCAGCCTCCAGACCCTTCCAGAGTTGATGCCTGGCAGGGGCTGGGAGATCCAGCCAGCTTCCTTCTCCCTCCTCCCCTCCCACACGCTTGTTCTTTCCACTGAACCTAGACATTTTTTTTAGACAGAGTCTCACTCCATTGCCCTGAGTAGAGCGCTCTGCTATCAGCCTAGCTCACAGCAACCACAGACTCCTAGGCTCAAGCGATCTTCATGCTTCAGCCTCCTGAGTAGCTGGGACTACAAGCATGTGCCACCACACCTGGCTAATTTTTTCCATTTTTTTGTAGAGACAGGCTCTTGCTCTTGCTTAGGCTGGTCTCAAACTCCTGAGCTCAAGCACTCCTCCCACGTCAGCCTCCCAGAGTGCTAGGATTACAGGCACGAGCCACTGCACCTGGCCTCGAACTTAAACACTTGTTGAAAAAAAAACAATACATGAACATTGGGAGCAGGCTCGGTAAATGGGTACTGTCTGTTCCAGGAGCTGCTCAGAGACCCTCTGTACATCGGCCTGAAGCACCAGCGTGTGCGCGGGAAGGAGTACGATGACTTGCTGGACGAGTTCATGCAGGCTGTGACAGACAAGTAAGTGGGCCAGTCAGGCCCTTTTGAAAGAAGACTCTAGAGTTACCATGACTAAAGTCAACACTGGTTTCAGCAGATACACAAACAAGGGGCAGTAGATGAGGGCTGGAAGCCGAAAGGGCTCATTCTCTGGAAGAATCTTTGGGAGCAGAGAGGGGAGGGAAGGAGAGAGTGCTGATGGCTGAAGCCTCTGTGATCTGGAGGTAGTTAAGTATCTCTTGTCACAGGAGGACAACCCCCTTGGCCTGAGCTGTTCAGGATTCTCAGCATAAGTAGGGATGTTGCAAATGGTGGAGGAAAGATATGTACCTTTCCGACCAAATGACTTTGGAAGGCAACTTGCCACATTCACCATCATTTTCCACTTTGAATGTGGGTGATGAAGTGTTAATGAGCTACTGTGGCAGACCACATGGGCTCTGGCCTGCAAGATTTATGAGGTGCCATCTCTTCACTGGGATGCAAAACATCAGCAGCTTCTGCCCTCCTCGCTGGTCCCATCCATCTGCCCTTGTGGCCACCCGCTCACCCTGCACCACCGGCTGGCATGCTGGTAACAGCCCCCACCCACCCATTTTAGTCTGAGAGGCAAGCTGGCCAAGCCAGAGTGTCAGCAGCTCAGTGAGCCTGTAGAGACAAATTAGGTCCCCTTCCCACTTGAAAACCTCCAGCCTCTTTTTTTTTTAATAGGAGACATGGTCTCATTCCAGCATCCCCAGACTGGAGTGCAGTGGTGTGATCATAGTTCACTACAGCCTCAAACTCCTGAGCTCAAGCTATCTATCCTCCTGCCTCAGCTTCCTGAGTAGCTGCAGCCAGCCACTGCGCCCAGCCTGGCCTTTCTTGCTGCCCCAAGAGTGTGCAGGTTTGGCGGAGCTGGCCTGCCCATCCTTGGCAAAGTTCTCCCTTGCCCAAGCTCAGCCACTTGAATCAAAATAGCGAGCTAGAGAGAGAGAGCTGCTCTGGCCTCTGCAGCCCACAATGTCACATCTGGGTGGGCTTTAGAAGTGGGCACAAACTGTATCTGACCCTTGACCCCTCTACTTTCCAGCTGTGTGGCCTTGGGCAGGTTACTGAGCCCCTCTGAGTCTCCTTTTCTGGTTCTCTTATCTGGAGATAGGAGTGTTTTGCTGCTGTGTTTTGTTTTTTAAGATGAAAGAAAAATAATATTGTGGTTTTATGGGATGGGAATGATCCTGGAAAAGAGAGGAAATTAATGACGGAATATGGGATGGGGGCAAAAGTTCTTGAGTAATCGAGAGGGGCACACCTGAGAGCTTTGTCTGAGGAGCACAGAAACTCACTCACCGGGAGAGGGGCAGGCAGAGCACTGGCACAGATGGGGCAGGCAGGTGCTGGTGGAGGTATTGTGGCGGGTCCCATTTGCTGGAAGACAAGGTCATCAGTAGCGAGTGAGGATGGGGGAGGTTTAAGAATGGAGGAGGGCTAGGTGCAGTGGCCCAGGAGTTTGAATCTAGCCTGGGCAACATAACGAGAATGAGACTTCATCTCTAAAAAAAGGCAAGAATGGAGTTGGTGTGACCTAGCTATCTAGGAGAATGTAGGAAAATGGGGAAAAGTCCAGACCAGGGAACTAGAATATGATCACTGGGCAGCTCTCTGAGTCTCCCTGCGGTTACTGGTCATGAATTTAACTTAGGCCGGTTAAGCTGTTTCTTGTTTTCTCTAGCCAGGTTCCACTGTCTGGGTGCAGGGCAGGAAGAGGCAGAGAGTAGGATGTAGTCAGGGTTGGGATTTTTGCCAGGCAAGACAGAAAGGGGAAGAGAAAGGAGTTGAGAGTGTGTCCAAAGGAATGGTTATCATTGTATCACAAGGTCTAGGCTGGGTAAGAAGGAACTTGAGGGAGCAGTGGAGGGGAGGGGCAAGGGACAGTAAACAGGCGGTAGGATCAATGGATGGTAAGTCTTGATAAGATTTAAGAATTGTTGAGTTGAGTACTAGGTGGAATGAGCTGAAAAGAATGGAGGTGGTAATCAGAAAGTTAGGTGTTTGCAGCTCAGATTTGGGAGGAGCTGCTGCTATGGGGATGTGGTCACCAAAGAAGTTATTTCAAGAGTCAGCTGCATTAATAGAGGCATAACATATAGAACAAGGGAGGTGAATGTCCCACTTTATTTTCCCCCTTTCAGACCATCTGAATACCACATTCAGTTCTAGACAAGATACACTGAGGGTTAGAAATTACCTAAAACACCTTCAGAGAGCAATAACCATGATAGTGAAGTTATGTAGAGGGAAGACTCAGAAACTACTCTGTGCATATCAGAGATACTGCACCACCTCCAGACATCAGAAAGCTGTTCTTTTAGAAGAAGATTGGACTTGTTTCTGTATATCCACTTGGAGAAGAATCAATTGATGGAATGGCAAAGGAGGCATTTTTTAGCTCAAAACAAATCAGAGCTACCCACCAGTGCACTGGACTCTCTGTGGGAATGAGTTCCCTGTCACAGGAAGAGTTCTAGGATAGGTTACGTGGTTTATTGGTAGTAATATTACAGAAGGGAATTCAAGCATCAGATGCTTTTTAAATGTCTTCTACTCCAGTATTCTATTCTGACCTCTTATTAATAAAAACCCTGTGTGGCTGTCTGGGATGGATATTATTACTCGTGTTTTATGTAAGACAAAACTGAGATCCTGGGAGGCCAAGTACCAGTCTCAGGTCACAAAGCTCGTGGCAGGACTGCAGGCTGAACCCAAGTCTGCTGACCCTGCGTGTAGACTGCTTTCTACAGTGCTGAGTCACCTGTGGATACAAAGAGAAGGGAATGAAACTGGCTTTGAGAGCCTGTTTTTTTTTTTTTTTTTTTTTTTTTTGCTTCCTGTTTCCAGGGCTCGCTGCTTATCTAATGAGTCAGTAGTCATTCCATGATTCCCCAGAGAGAAGTCTTGCTATTTGTGTGGAAAGGTTAAACAAACCAGGATGTAAGAGGCTCTTCAAATTATCATCAAAATCAGTTCACAGTTTCACAGACACACACATGCAGTCCAGGGAGGACCCTTGGGGAGGGGCGTGCGTCAGCCAACAGGAATGTGTCCTTAAACAGAAAAGATGATGGATTGATGGTTGGTTGTTTTGACTTTCTAATAAGCTAAAGCAGATGTTTCTGTGGATACTGTAGGTGGGGAATGAGCTGGTCTCCCTGGGTGCTCTTGGGAATACAGTAGCCCCGAGATGGAATGGCCAGCTTGGAGGTGAGTCAGGAGCTCCCAAGTTAAACATAATGTATTTTAAGAAAGAACCTTGGGAAATGTTGACTCCTGCCTTCAACATCCTCATCTCAGTCCAAAACATCCTGCTAATGAAAAGCTCCAGGTTCTTGCCCCTACCCACTAATCAGTATGTGCTTGGAGATTTTTTGGCCTGAAGTAAACTCACTATGGCTCAGTTCCTGTCCTGGAGCTTGGCCACTAAGGAGGACCCACTACGACAGAAGGAACCTCCATTTAAGTCTGTGAACCACAGCAACAGACAGCTGGGAGTATCCTGCTCAAAGCTGAGACAAAAAAAAACTGATGTGCCCATGGCAAGGATTGGTCATTTCTTTCTTCTTGCTCCCTCCCTGCCATCAAGTGGGACCCAGAGCATTGCACCTGAACACCACATCCTGGTGTGACAGTTTGTCCCCGACGGTCCTCACTTACATTTTCCATTCCTGTTACTGGTAGTAGAATGGATGGAAATGGTCTAAGTTTGCACCTGGAGCCCTAGCTCTGTCTCATAATTGGCCTGGGGTGGACAAAAGTTTGAGGTCAGCAGCAACTTCAGCCTTTAGGCAGGTCAGGATAGGAACTCACTCCCTTTTCCTTTAGCTTCCCACACCCTAATATGGGGATTCTTAAGCTGGTAAGATGAGAGTGCTAAAGAAGGAAAATAAATAAAGAAATCTTACTTTTTAAAAAAGGATTTACTTTTTAGCTCCAGGAAAGTTTCTTGTTTTTTGAGTGTCTCCATCTTTTTATCTCTCTCTCTCTCTCTCTGTCTCTCTCTCTCTCTCTCTGTCTCTCTCTCTCTCACACACACACACACACACACACACACCACACAAAATACCTGAGATTCACCATAGTGAAAGTCACAATTTCACTATTAGTGCTCTTTGTAGAAAGTTCTAGTTTTCAGAGAAACCTAGACAGCCCTGGGCCTCTGATTTCTGGAGCCACTTACTGCACAGACCCGCCCCTTAATGCTACCTTCCAAGTTGGTGTGAGCCCCTGCCCTTCCAGAGCCAGCCCCATGTGCTCCAGCACGCATTCTCTGTGTCACTTCAACCTAAGTGGGACTCCTCCCATTCCATCTCCCCTCTGCTCCTCATCCCACTTGTTTCTGCCCTTACATTTGGAGGGTGCCTGTAAAGATTTCTGTTCAAATATATGTCCAAACAAAATAACTAAATATCCTGATCAGATTGACAGGAGGCAAAGGAATTGGTACTTGTCAGGTCTTTGTACAAATCACAGCACCCAAGTTAAAGCTAGAAACAAGGAGGTGAGATTCCAAGACTGCTCACTGCCCCTTGGTCTGTGGTGTGAAGGCCCACACACCCCCCCATTTCTAATGCTGTGTAACAAACCACCCCAAATTTTAGTGGCTTAACATTTTCTTTACTCTTGATTTTTATAAGCTGAGCTGACTCAGCTGGGTGGTTCCTCTGATGGTCTTGCCAGTAGTCACACAAATGGCTGCTTTCAGCTGGCAGATTCCTGTGATTAGGCTCAGCTGGGTGGTTCTTCTACTCGTCTTCCCAGTGGTCATGCATATGCCTGCTTTCAACTGGGAGATTAGCCAAAAGTGGGTTAAGCTGGGACGCTGCAGAGGTTGGGCTTCTTTCTCTCTCCATATAGTCTTAGGGTCTCTCCCTCTTCACATCATTCTTTCTCCTGCTGCCTACTTTTCTTATTCAAAAATGTTGTCTGCTCTGAAGGATTATGTGGTTCTTAATGACACAGTCCATGTCTTTTATTTCTTTTGAATC